AAAGGAGATTGAAGAAGAGATTAGTTTATAATTTTTTTAGTTAGATATATTTTCTGAATTATTGATTATTTTTTAGGTTAAATTTGATATTTTTTGTAAAAAAATGTTATGGACAGATTGTAATTTTTGTAAAAAAAAATAAAACAAAAAGTTATTTTATATTTTTTATATTAAAAACATAATTGTTATTTATATTATATATATTATAAAGTTTTCATTTTCATTTTATATTGTATTCATATATATTATGTAAAATAGAATATAAAAATATAAAACATAATAAAAAATAAAAATAAAAACAGAATATAATTAAAAATAGAATAAAAAACATAATAAAAATAAAATATTTTTATTTTTTAAATAGAATATATATTATTTAAAACATAATAAAAAACAAAAATAAATGGCACAAATGAATAGCACACATACTTCGTGAACGAATATAAATTTCACACTGAGACATGGACTGAAGGGAAAAAATCATAAACAATGGTGTATTTGTAAAAGGAGTTATAGATGGTGGTGAAGATGACTTTTATGGCTTGTTAAATATATCGACGAGTTGGTATACAATTACTTGGACTCGGAAAATCAAGTTGTCTTGTTTTATTGTGAATGATATGATCCAACTAGAGGCACAAAAATAGATAAGTCATATGGTACTGCTGAGATTTAAATGGGCCGAAGGTACAAAGAGTATGACCCTTTCATAATGTCACATATTGTTAGGCAAGTTTATTATGTTCCTTATCCTTCATTTTTACCACGTAAACGAGGGTGGTGTGTTGTAATAAAAACAAAAATGTTGGTTCATATTGAAACTATCGATCTAGTGAAAGATGTTGCTTACCAAGTTGATGAAGTTGAATAATTAATGATGTGATTGCAGATGAATAAATTAATGATGCCATTACTCTCCTCTCAGTATCCTATGTTCCCATCTGGGAGTTCGTCTTTTATTAGCCCGTCTAGGGGACTATCTTTTGTTAGGCCACCTGGTTTTCAATTCCCGCAAACACCGACGTCCTCATCCTTCCAGTAGACTGGAGGATCCAGTTTTTCAAATCCCACACAAATGCCCCCATCCTTCCAGCAGACTGAAGGATTCAGTTTTCCACATCCCACACAGATGCCCTTATCCTTTCAGTAGACTGGACGATCCAACACCCCACATCCCACAGAGATGCTCTCATCCTTCCAACAGACTGGAGGATCCATCACCCCACATCCCACACAGACTGGAGGATCCCGCACCCCACATCCCACACATGTACCTACACGTGAGGATAATCACGTGGAGCCGGATGATGATGATCTAGATAGGGACGATGAGGTGTTGTCTGGAAATGATCTTAGAGGGGATGATGATCCGAGTCAGATTCATGTCATTGACGAGAGATTTTGGATTTGGCCCGAAGGAAGCTCGTAAGTTTCTTATTTATAAAATTTTATTTAAGTATACATTTTCGTTTTTAATATAACCTTATATTAAATATTGCTAATTCCAATTATTGTTGTTTAGTTTCGGACCGAGTTGGACTGCTGTCAAGATTGTAAGTTATATAATTCAACAATTGTATAAAGAATTTTGGAAGAGTTTTAAAGATGTTCCAAATAAAGAAGCTTGGTTTAACAAATTTAAGATATAATTAATTTATTTTTTTAGTTATTGTTATTTAAATGACTTTTCATTATAATTGTCTAACTATTTATTCTAATGTCAAACAACATTGCAGGAAAAATGTGTGTCAGACTCAATGAATGAGAGACAGATTAAAAAAATTATTATGGCAGAATCTCAAGACGACCTTCTGACGTATTACGGCGTGATAGAGAGCGTTCGAAACTTCCGGGTATCCGTCCCAATTGGATAGGCAAAGAAGTTTTTGATAAACTTCTTAAATATTGGGAAACGGATGAATTTAAAGCTAAATTTGAAAATATAAAGAAGATGAGAGCATCTGAAAAAGGGGTTGCCTTAATGCAGTTGGAAGTATAAGTACCGCTAAGCATGTTCGACGCATGGTAATTATTATCACTTTTTAAGTTATATTTTGATTCATAATAAATTTATTAATTAAAGTTAATTTTATTATCTAGACTAATACTTTGGGGAGACTACCGCTGATGATTGAGCTGGTTAAAAAGACTCAGACAAAGAAAATGGGGAATTTTGTTGACGAACGTATACAAAAAGCTATGGTAAGTTATTTAATTTAAGTTCTTTATTATATATATATATATATATATATATATATATATATATATATATATATATATATATATATATATATATATATATATATATATATATATATATATTAATTTAATGGCAATTTTCTGGCGTGATTTTCACATGACAACTGAGAAGTTGTGACGTGAAAATCCCGTGGCAATTGATATATATATATATATATATATATATATATATATATATATATATATATATATATATATATATATATATATATATATATATATATATATATATATATATATATATATATATATATATATATATTAATTTAATGGCAATTTTCTGGCGTGATTTTCGCATGACAACTGAGAAGTTGTGACGTGAAAATCCCGTGGCAATTGAGAAGTCGTGGCGTGAAAATCACATGGTTATATTTCATATATTATTTAATTTAATTTATATTTAACTTAATTTTTTTCATTGAATGTGTATGAGGATTATCAGATATTGCTCGCAAAATTTCTGACCCATAATTCTCAATATACTCCGAGAGAGGGAGGGCCGGATCATTCAAATGTGGATTTTTATATTTAGAGTAAAGTCAATGGTAGAAAGGGGCCTAACGGTTTTTTTTGTGGTTGGAATTTTGCGGGCACCTTGGAAAGTGGGGATAAAACTCTATTTCAAAGAGTTAGAGACGGGGAAGGAGGGTCACGTCAAACAAATTTGACACCAGAATAACTTGAAACAATAAGACAATTAGTGTTAAATAAGGCAAGACGTGAGTCAGCGCAGCGTGAGACGACAATGAAGGTTCAAATGGAGGCAATGAGGCAAGAGCAACAACGGAAAATGGAGGTCATGGCGAAGAGGCAAATTGATATGGAGCAGCAAATGAGGCAATTTATGCAAGGGTTTGGTGGAAATCAAAATGTTCGTGGTCAAGAGCTAGAGGATGACGGGAACGAAGATAATTTTGACATTGATAATTATCCCGACCAAAATGACTTGTTGAATTAATTTTATTTTTATTTTGCTTTTAAATTTGAATTTGTGTAACATACTAATTAAACCTATTTAATATATTAAATTAAAAAAATTTAAAATTTAAATTTTAGTTTACTAATTTTATTATATTAAATTTATTTAATTTATTAATTTATATATTTAGTATATTTATTTTATTAATTAATTTATTAATTTAATTTATTAATGTATATTTTGTTTCAGCAACTAAATTTAAAAAAAAATTAGTGACATGTAAATTACGTCGCAACCTTAAATTTTTTATATAAAAAAAAAAGAAAAACATGTTAATAAGCTTCTTTGTAAAATGAAATTAATTAATGACATGATTTTCACATCATAAATTAATGACGTGAAAATCACGTGACAACAAAAGTTACTGCTCTGACTACTACGCCTGTTCGTACTGTAATGTTATAATTTTTGTGCAAATATGTCGCAACGTGATTTTTACGTCACAACTTTGTGACATAAAAATCACGTCACAACAAAGTTGTCACGCGCTCTCTTACAAATATAATTAGTCACGTCGCAAAAAACACATTGTGACGTGATTTTATATGTTGTGACGTGATAATTACATCGCAACTGAATATTTTTTTATAGTGAGTGTTAATAAGTATGTTAATAGCACCTTAAAAAAAATTAAAAAATATTATATTTTTATAAAAATTTATATGTTCAATTCATTGAGAATTAACATTTTTTATCAGTTTTAAAAATTATTTTCTTTATTTAGATCCTTAAATAATGTTTTTAGACACTCCTTACCAATACTCCATATAAATATATTAAATTTTTTAGAATCAAAAAGCTTAAATTGTTATATAATATATGATATTAAATTAGTAGCAAATAGACTTCACAACAAATTATTTGATAACATATTTTTCCGACAATTACAAGTAGTATATTAAAAGTCTAATAAAATATTAAAGAGAATAGTATAGGAAGTTATTGGTAACATATTCTTGCGACAATTATAAGTAGTATATATTAAAAGTCTAATAAAATATTAAAGATAGTAGCACAGGAAGTAGTTATTGATGCCTAACTTTTTGCAATTATAATGAATATAATATTCAATACTTATAGATAGTAGATAGTAATAGTAACTTGTAAGTAAAAAATATAATATTATTATAAGAAAGAAACGGTGTGCAAGTACATGCCTGGTACAAAATCAAAATATCAGGGGGTGCAAAATCTTTACAAATAGGATATGATGAGTAATATTAAAAGGTTCAGGGGTGCAGTTGCACCCTCTCACTTATGAGTGGCTCCACCTCTGTATGTTAGGTGTGCAAACATCAATAACTACATTTGCCATCACTTTGCAAAAGTGACAGAGAATCACATTTACAATGACTTGAAATCCTGATGGACCATATTTTCATAGGATATCCCATCAGGAGGCCTGAGTTGTCCCATTGCCACCGTCTCTGACAAGTGATGGTGCTAAAAGCAAACACATTTGTTCAAAATATTCTCTCTATCACTTTAAATTTCGAGACATATATTTACAATATCAGTGGAACTTCAGGTTTTAACTAACATAAAAGCTCTTTTATTGTAATGAAATGTGGTTAAAAGAATAACACGCAAATATATGGAGATTTAAAAGAGTAAAATATTATAAAAATAATTTAAAAGATTAATTTATTGCAAGTATCTTACCATGTGTTTATCGTAATTTCTATTACATGTGTTTTTTTTTTGCATAACATAAATTTTGTTAACTAGGTATACCCCTACCACCTTCCAAAAGAAGAGTTTCTTAGATATCCATCCTTTTGTCTGACAAAAGAGCCGTTGAAGAAGATGAGAGGATGTTATTTTCACTTTTTATGTGTTTCTCTTGAGCCTGGGCCCACATTACACCATAAAATCCAATAATTATAATAGCAGCTCCAATCATGCTGCACCCATAAGAAAAAATAATTTAAAAAAAAAAGACCATTCTTATATTTCTATATTATTAAATGAATCTTCAGAAATGAGTTATTAGTTTACCTTCCAAGATAGAGATTGTCTCCCAGAAATATTACTCCCATGCCAAGTGCAGCGACAACTCTTAATGGTTTGAATATAGCTACATATATGGGTCCTTTCTTACGACATGCCCATATGGTTACAACGCTCCTTGTTGATACCAAAAATATTGCCTATACATGAATTGTCATATGACCAATATTTAAGTAACAACAAGTTATAAATATGAATCTTAAATAAACACTTAAATGTCTCCATTGATTAAACTAAATTATATTTTGAAGTGATAGAAAAGTTTGGTTTTATTTTAAGGACAAAATATTTATTTTTATTCCTTAAGCTTATTTCGAGATTCATTCTAGTTTTTTATCTTTAAAAGTTTTAAAATGGTCATTTAATTGTTCAAAAAGGTCTAAATTAGTAATTTCCATCCAATTTTCTCAAACGGTGTTACAATTGATGTTACTTGTTGCTTGCAAGTGATTGTCACTTACCACTACAATATTTCACCATTGGTGTTAATTTCTCCATTCAGGTTTATTATCAAGTCTATTTCGAAGTTCTATTTTTTTAATATTAAAACTACTTGTACTTCTACTAAGGTCCAATATAATTCTTTTTCAGCAGTTAAAAAAACAAGGAAGGATGCATGGTTAAAACGGATTAGGCCTGAAGTTCTTGCCTACAACAGAGGCTCATGAGCACAACATCAAAAATAGTAAATAAATAAAAATTAAACAAAGATGGATCGCGTTTGTTAGTATTGTAAGGATCAAATGACATTGAAATTAAAAAATCCTAAAATGCTAACAAAACAGTCGCTTCATCTACTATTAACTTGGAGAAAGATGTAACAAAATTGAACAGAGTTTAACTTTTTTTTCTTCTTAATTTTCTTCCTTCTATTCTACCGTTATGGACAGGCTCTTATATAGTGAAGATAATTGAAATTTGAGAGTGAAAGAATGAAGCAAGTTGAGGGAAGAATTTGAGTTTGTGAAATTTTGTTTCGGAGCCAATTGATCGATCTGTGCCATTTAGTTTAGGTGATTTTTGGCCTTTGATAACAATTTAAAGGACGATTGAGATTGGATGAATGAATTGGTTGATGATTGGATGAAATTTTGATTTTCTGTATATGAGAAACCGTGAGAAGGTTGTTGTAAGCACAAGAAAAACTGTGAGAAATTGATTTTGCAAACACAAGAAAAACTGATATGTCGATAAATGACTTTCTCTTTGAAAATATAATTAGCATACCACACTATGTGCCCCCTGAACAGTTCCTATAATATGTAGTTTATTAAGCCATGAACAACCCCTATAATATGCACTCTATTAAGTCAGAGTTGGAAGTACAAGTAGTTATAATATTAAAAAAATAGAGTTTTGGAATAGATCTGATAATAAATTTGAATGGAGAAATTAACATCAATTGTGAACTGTTGTAGTGGTAAGTTGCAATCGCTTGTAAGCAAGAAGTACTGAGACCTTTTTGAACAATTGATTGATTATTTTAGAACTTTTTAAAGATAAGAGAGTAGAATGGACTTCGAGATAAATATAAGAGACCAAAAAAGATATTTTACCTATTTTAATTTATTAACATCAATAAAGTGAATACTTACCGAGTAACACAAAGATACAAACTCCTTATTAAGTCTAAGTATCCAAGCTTTTGAAATACCCTCTGAAATGAGAGCGACAATGGAAGATAGGATTACCACAAAAATGCAACAAATAGTTGTTACCACTAGCTCTTCTGGATATTCCTTCATAATCCAAGTCTGTATATAGATAGAAATTAAAAAGAAAACTTAGAATTATAGTCAATGTGGTTCCAATTATAAAATATGATGTCTTTGTAGTCTTGTAGAGATGTTTATAGTGTTATATTAATCTTTTACTTTTTAAGTATAATGACGTCAAATGGACATATAACTTAAATAAAATCATAAGAGAGAGGATGTTATTAAACAAGTTTCTTTAATACTCTATTTCATTGACTTGAATTTGTTGCATAAGAAAACAAAGGTTTTTGATGGATAAATGTTGGATTCCTTAATAGATGAGAAACCTAAGTTATTAAATGAATACACTTGATTTAATTTCTTACATTATCTACCTTAAATCATGCTCTCAAACTTATGATTCAAAACATCTTATTTAACTTGTAGAAGAACTCCATCTTCAAAGTCTTTGTAAATATGATTGTAATTTGTTCTTGAGTGTGATAATAAAACTTGAAGACAATGAAATTGAACTTATTCAAAAATGAAATGTATACCATAATATGCTTTTATTGTTACTAATCTCCTTTCAAATTATTTATTTATATCTCTAAATTGCTGTTCAGATACAAGTATGAATTGTAAGTTCCATATTACTTGAAAAATTGGAGGTTGAGTCCTTTTATGTTATAGGAGTCATAAAAGCTTTTTTCAATATGTAGACTTTATCTTCATTTTCTTTGATCACATATCTTACAGGTTGCTCAAACATACACTTCTTCTATCAAATTACCATTAAGAAATGCAAACTTAACATTCATTTAATATATTTTTCAACTATTTTAAGATGAGACCGGATTAAACATTCAAATTGTATTCAACTTTGAAATATGAGGAAATACCTTAAAATAGTTAATAACTTATTCATAATTGTATATGTATTTTGTCTTGTATACCACTTCACTCCTCTAGGTTTCTTGTTTGCCGATAATTCTATTAACCCCTATTTTTTATTCTTAATTGAATTGATTTCTCCATCCGTGTATTTTCTATAATTTTTGTCATCAACTGGTTCTTCAAAAGTAATTAACTTACAATGTGAAAATAAATAAAAGTTGATAATTTCTTCATTAGATAGGTTATTATCATCACCAAAAATACAATCTTGTAATTTGGGTGATAATCTATGTAACCTATGTTGTTTCTTGGATATTTTTGGCTCATTAGGTCTTGGATTAAGTTCATTCTCTATGGAGATCATTTAAAGTCACTATTGGATTCTTTTATAACTTTAAAGACCAATTTTTTATTCCCCATTCATCAAAAGTCGCATCTTATTTATAACATCCTTTTTTGTGTTTGGATTGTTGAGTTTATATGATTTAAGTTTGAACTATGTCCAACAAAGATTCGTCGTCTTTGTCATCAAACTTCTTTATCAGTTGATTTAGTAAATGGGTATATGTAATACATCTAAAAATTTTAGGGTATCAAATTCAAGATCTTCTTCGACTCCAAACTTCTTCAATATCTTAAACACTTTTTGTTAGACATCTATTCAAAATATAAACTACAATAGAAACTTTTTCTGCCAAAATTTTCTTATGCATTTGTTTGGAGTTACAACATGCATCTTACCATATTGGTTTTTTTTTTCTTCTCTTAGAAATAGCAACTAAGAGAAGAAAAATTTTTGTCTCAACCCTTAGACCAACTATATACAATCAAAATTTTCAATTCCATTATGCTAAATTCTATATTGTTCAAAAAAAAATTCTACCAATTAACCTAATATTTTTTACCCATGCCTATTTTCAATATTTTGATTTCACAACCTCTTTGGTTTTTTACAAATGCCTTAAATGTATTGAAGGCATCACAAACTTCTGAATTTTGTCTCAAGAAATACATTTGAAGATTTTCTTCTAAAATCATCAATAAAAATAATAAATTATCTACAATCACCAGATGTTGGTATTTCTACTAAGCACAAGTCATATATATATATATATATATATATATATATATATATATATATATATATATATATATATATATATATATATATATATATATATATATATATATATATATATATATATATATATATATATATATATAAAATAATAATTTGAAATAATAGAACTCAAACAAGAATAATTTTCATGTCAAAACTTTAAAGAAAATAGGCAGTTAAGTTTCATTCTTACCTTTATATAAATCTACCATTTATATAAATCAACCTACATAACCATTATAAATCTGCAGGTTATAATTTTGGTAAACAAATTTTCCATAATCAAGAGGTTATGATACACACCAAGAGCATAAACAACATCACCAATAAAAATTTGAAATCCATCTTTCAACCAAACATAAATTTAACTTTTTCTAATATTAGAATACTTGTAACATTTCCAAACTTCACAGTAATTTCACCTTTTCGTTTAGAGAACACATATGATTTCTACATCAAATATCCAAATATCAAATATCCTTTTCTTTACAAAATATATAACTTTCTAAAAATAAATTTTGTGGACTTTCATAATTCTTACTATCATTTTTATATAAACTTTCTGCTATATTTCCTGATGTCAATATTTGCAATAAAAACCAAAGTAAATTTCTTATAAGCTAAGTTATCTATTTTTTAACACGTTAAAAAACAAAAGTTACTTAATGAATAAGAAACATAAGTTACTTAATGGATAAAAATGTTAGGTTACCTAATGGATAAGAAACTTAAGTTACTTAATTGATAAGAATGTGAAAAGATAGGATAGTTCATATATCTTGGTTAGCTTCTCTCTCATTAGAAAACACTTGATTTAATTTCTTATAAGTATGAAATATTTATTTCTAAATTATTAAATATAATTATTGTTTTTCTTTAAATAAATTTTAAATTAAAACTGTCAAAAAATAATATTTTAGAACATCTATGCATAAAATATATACAATTAATTATAGCAACAATTTTTTATAAAAGTAAAAAAATGCAATTGATATCTATATTTAAGATTTTAAGTACATAAGAGTAAAATAACTATATATTTTAATTGAGTTAAATGAGAGTAAATTATTGATCCAGAATTTAATATTTGACGATAATATTTATTTATATTTATATATTTATATAATCAAAATATTAATATTTGTAAATCGATAATTAGTATGAGTGGTGTACCTTGGTTGTATATAATTGGTCTAAGGGTTGAATATTTATAAATCAACATTTAAAAAAAATGTTTACCTGAACTATATGTAAAATTGAAAGGCAAAAGCTAGCAGCTGCAAGAAGAATAGCCCCAACTATCCAATCTGATTTTCCTGCGATGTTAATTCCACGAGCTCCCATTTCTATATTTGGAAAGGCATTACTAATTAATGGTATTCCTTTATATAATGTCACAGTTAATGCCCCTGCAATGCAGATCATTGTACCAATAACTTTTGCCTGACTACTATGTTGTTTCAAATTTAGAATTTCCATCCTGAAAATGCACAAAACAGGGTTCACGCAAAATATATTTTTTGTGTTTACAATGTTTATAGAGGAGTAATAAAATAATTATTAATAGTGGTATAATAATTAAAATTATATTTTTTTTATAGAATGAATAAGTGAGATGTCACGAGTTCAAATTCATGTTCATGTAAATCGAACTCAATTAATATGTCTGATAAAAAATTATTTTAATTGTATTTTATTATTTATTTATGTACAAAGGGGAATTTAAGAATTCTTTTACTAAGAGAAGAGGATAATACATAAAGGAAAGGTAAATAAATAGACTACAAATTGTGCTCCTACTTTTTTTTGAATGACAAAATCAATATTCTTAAAAATAAATTATATAGTCATAAGAAACACAACATTCTTATGTATGAGCCTCGTACCTCCTTATAAAAGATCTACAATATCTGATGCTAGGAAATCAAAAGTGTTAAATGAAAATAATATAAAAACATGTTTATTATTTGAACACGATTTCTCATGTTTGACCATTTTGCTAGAGAATGTGAGAGATGTTAGTCCTCATTCCCACAAATAGAGAAACCTCACTCAAATCCACATATGCATGTTTTCCTAAGTTTAAATCTTCTCACCTTTGTATCGGTCGAGAAATTCACACATACATCTTTTTTCACAATTACTTTATTGCCTATAGAAATATATCAATAAAGACATAACTAACAAAATCGTACTGGTATTTGAAGTCTGAAAATTCCTACAATAAACTGTATATTCTTCAAAGGTATTTAAGTATGTCTTACAACAAATAATAAAAAATAAAAGATTCTTAAAATGATACGATAGAATTGTATGGTACTCTACCAGTGATATATTACGGCCAAGCATATCAATAAGATTAACTAAGAGAAAATCTTGAGCACGTGATACTCGGAAACACCTAGATTCATATTTTTGTCTTGTCATACTTTTGTCTTGGTTATTGATTGTTATTATCACGTCAAACTTTACTTTCATGTTTTGAACATTTTTACTAAAAATACACTCACCAAAAGATGTTAGGCTTTAGGTTAGGGGAGTGGGTATTTGATATTCAAACTATTAAGGTAAAAATTTGGAATCGTATCACTGAGATTCATCTAAAGCTCTATTTAAACCAGAGTCCATACAATATATCTCACTATATCTCAATATATGATCTTGTAGTAGACAAGACTGGGCCTTAACAATTTTATTTGGGAACACGTAATTCATTGTAAGGAATACCTTGCCACAAAAGTGTATGAGGCGTCCTATATTATTTAGCACAAACTCAATCCCCAAACTCTAATAAGTAAAGAAACCACACTCCATTAAAGGCCCCAAAGAAAATACCTCCTCCAAGCACGATGTCTCCAATCGCCCTTAGAAATTTCTTATCAAACAAAATAGTTGCCTCCTCCATGTGAATTGATTGACATGTATCTTTGGCTAAAATAAATTTTTGGCAGTACCTATGCAAGATCAAAGTTGAAGAAGCTCACTCTGTTGATCTCTTAACTACGATAGAAGATGCATTAACTTAACTATCCTGGAAACTCTCTTCATAAACAATGTCTCGATAAAATATTTATCATGACTAACATCTCCTCCAAGAAATTTCATCTCCAACACTAACCTCCCATTGTCAGAAGTGAACAACCCCTACAAAATTTACTGCCAACACACAAAAGTCAAAAGATCTATGTCTTACGAATATTCATTTAAAGAGTCAGTCTTTGACATGCTTATTGAATTATGTAAAAGACTTAAGCAACCTCTTTTGAATCTCTTATGATGTTCTCATGTCAAAGTACTAGGCATGAATAAGAAATTTGTAATTGTTTTTTATCTTATGAATAAGAGGGTGTAAGTGAAGAGAAAGAGGAGTAGTTGAAAAGAAAAAGAAGTGGCCCTAATCAGTCGACATGTTATACTCTAGTAGTTGACATAATATGTTCATCCATAAAGTACAACTTTATTTCTTAACCATAAAGATATTCAATACACAAAGAAATACTCCTCAAGCCATATGTCTAGTCGGTCTATCATGTTGAAAATATTCAAGAAATCTAATGTGAACACAATTATTAGTACTCATTTTTACTATTTTTATCTAAATATTTTTATTTATTTTAGGTAATATTTATTAATTAGTTAAGTTTTCTAGTGAAATTCCCATATCTAATTTTTATTTGATTAAATAAAAATTCTCATATATTTTCAGTTTATGAGGCTTTTGACCTATTTTGTAAGACTCAGGAAATCAAAGAAAGGGAAAAAAAGGAACGTTGCATATCTTTAGAAAGATTTACAATTTTGACCAAATTGATGATGTGTGCACAACCATATCTAAAAATATTTACATGTACGATCATATCTAAAACTTTGTAATTCCGACTAAGGTGCGACTCACAGAAAATGAAATCTAAAATTCAATGATATAAATTTTATGAAGAAGTTAAAGTCTAAATCAAACTATAAAAGAGCAAAAAAATAGCAACAAAATTTATGACGTTATTACATTGCTAAATTGTGGAATTGGGCTTTTTCTTGACCTTGAAGAAAATTTTGTTGTGTGAACATTCGTTGTTTGTTGCAATACATTTTGAGCTATTAGATTTGTCAGAAAAGACAGTATTGATTGATGTCTAGCATCCAAAACTTAACTTAATGATTGTCCATTCTTGTATGGTTGTTTTCCAATTCGTTTTTAATATTTTTACTTGCTTCATGTAATATTCCATCCATTCGGTGATGGATATGACTGATTACATCCTCAATGTGTTTATTAGTCATTTTAACAACATCATCCAAATGTTTAGATGAAGGATACGGAGGTTTAGGAGACATCGATTCAATGAAGAAAAACACCAACAATATATTATACTAAATAAAAAATAAATCTAGGTTATAAAGGAAGAAAATATAAAACAAAATTTTGATTTTTTATAAAAAATCCTTCTACAACCATATTACAATTTAAATAGTCAGATTATCCAAACACAAATGAGAATGAGCCACTTTTGAGAAAGATCACTAAAACAAAATAATTAAATAGAGACAATTTTTGTTAGACCCCCTTTTAAAATTGATAACAATCATTAAATCATGTTGATTTTTTACACTTTTTGGGCTTAAAAAAGTTGGGCCTTCTAACAACTAAAGTGTATAATATTTATAATCTAAGGAACTAAAATAAAATCACAAAATCTCACACAACCAACGTAAATTAAAAAATAATTAAAAGGGCAAAATATATACTGAATCTAAATTAAATAATTTCATGCTTCACATGATATGGTGAATAAAATATATTTTATATGCTACTGAGTTTTGATGCAAGTGGTTCCTGGGATTCGAAAGAAAAACAAATCTTGATAAATTTCAAGAAATAAAGAAAAGGAAGAACAAACCTTGAAATTAAAGCAAATATGAAGGTAAAAGCAGGGACAAGATCAACCATAGCTGATGCCAAAGTGGGAGAGCTATATCTAATTCCAGTGTTGGTCAAAATCTGCACTGAAGCTCTGCACATGTAGCTTCATATTCAGATTCTTATCATAACAATAACATATATTATGCTAATTAAAAAGTCATGATTATTTTATACATACTGGAAGCAACTAAGAAGAAATATTCTGCAGAAAATTGATGTTGAAATTGGAGGAGGAGGTCTTTTTCTATGGTAGAAAAGAGTGGTTGGTAGAAGGACACATAGAGCAAAAAGATTTGAATAAACAGTGAAAATGAAACTACTCATTCCATCTTTAGTTGCTGATTTCATTAGTGTGTCACCACCTACTTCCAGGAATTGAACTGTAACCATTGCTGCTGTTACACTCGCTCCTTCAATCTCCATTTTTTTCCTTTTCTTTTTTTTCTTCTCTCTTCAATTTGCTTTTCACACTTCATACTTTAATAATATCCTGCTTTGGAATGATACCTTGTCTCTATCCATAAAAGGATTAATAACATTTATATCCCTTAAAGAAATAGATTAATGTATTTAATTATTTGAAATACATTATTGAAACATATTTAAATATTATCAACTATATTATTCAAATATATTTAAATATTAAATACATATAAATTTAAAATATTAATTAAATATAAATTTATAACGTTAATTAAATATAATAATTATTCTAATTTATACACAATTAAATATTAATTAAATATAATAATTATTTGATTTTAAAAATAATTGTACACCAAAATAAATTTTAATATTTGATTTTAGTGTGTATGATTTCAAAGATAAGCCTCAAAAACATTTTAATATTAATTTATTATTAATATATCAAATAAAATTTAATTATGTGATAATATGTCAAAAAAATATGGAACTGAGCAAACGTATACTTATCATTGTAACAGAAAATCATAGAGAACGCAATTATTGGTAGCGCCTCTTTCTTGGAACATAGAGAGAGTGGGTTCAAATTTCATTGGTCACACATTTTTATAGTTTTCAATCTTTTAAATTCTGACAACTTAAAATAATAATTAATATAATGTCAACATGACAATTAAAATAAATATAATATATCTATATCAGCATATTTGAAATAAATAATATATATATATATATATATATATATATATATATATATATATATATATATATATATATATATATATATATATATATATATATATATATATATATATATATATATATATATATATATATATATATATATATATATATATATATATATATATATATATATAATCAACCGTGCCACATAAATAAATACGGTGTCATTTTTTTATTAAGGTTTAAAATGGCATAATCTTTATTTGATAATGTTAATTTTACAAAAATAAAATTTACATGAGATAAACTAAAAATAACTTATATGATATGATATAAAAGTGCTATTAACCCAAATAAAATGATATTTAAAATAGTATTTAAAAAATCAATTATAAATTAATAAAATAAACTTCAAATGAATAACGAAAAGGACTCTACTAAATTTAACTTTTATTGTCATATAAATTTATAATATATAAGCCATATGCTTAAAAAATATATTATAACAAATATAGTTTTATCGGGAATTAAGTTTGAGATTTTATTTAAAGTTAGGATTAAATATATTTTATCCCCTCGCAATAGTAGCGAGTTTTGATTTATTCCCTTTTAAAAAAAATTATTTTTGCTCCTTAACAAATATAGATTCCTAAACATAAAATCCTACAGCTCAAGATTTCCTTTGAGTTTCAGACGTGACATTTGATTGTTTGCTGACTGTGTAATTAAATGCCATGTTGGACTGTTTGTGTTTAGGATTTTTTTTCTTCGTCTTCTTCCTGTTTCAACAGTCAATTCCAGTGCAAATCGTTTCCTACCTTCTGTCCCTACCGTCTTGCTCATTTCTTCTCTCCCTACCGTGTTGAACCATTTCCATTGCAAATTGTTTCCTGAACTCCGATTTTGTCCCTACGTTCAAATGGAGGATGCTAGCAAGAGTGTTGGAAGTTGCAATTCGTACGAGTATTCAAAGGTTCCTAGATGCGGATGTTGTCGTCCGATAAAGATGTGGTTTGCTAACACCGTAAAAAATCGTAATAGGAAATTCTGGAAATGTAGGAATGCTGGGGTAAGTTCCTGAATCTCAAAAGCTGTGATCTGTTTATACTGGGGAAATTCGTAATATGGGTTTAAAGTTGTTTTTGGTTGCAGATGGGCAATAGCCGTGATCTGTTTATTTGGGATGATGAAATTTCTCACTCCATTAGTGAAATCTCAAATTCTTAAAGTTATTGCAAACACTGTGATTGGAGTTTGAACTGACAAAAAAGAAACTGGAAAAATCCAAGTTGAAGATAGTTGCATTAAAGAGGAAAATTTTCCAACAGAATATGGCAATTATGATGTATTGGTTTATCTTTGCAGTGTTGTACAATTATATATAATTTCAAGTGTATTGTGTAATTTCAAGTTTATCTTTGCAGTGTTGTACAATTATATGTAATTTCAATTATATAGCAATTATGTAATCTTTGCAATGTTGTACAATTATATGTATCTTTGCACTGTTTGTTTAATGTCAATTTTGATACAATAAGAGTGTTTCATTTTTCTTACAGTATTGCATTACAAGTTGAAATCATTAAATAACCTTATCAATTGAAACCAATATTAAAGGAGTCATTACATGAAGGCATAAGTAGAACAAAATGCTAATGTCATTACAAAAGGGCATAACAGCCTAACAAACCATAAGGACACAAACCATAACTTAATGCCAAAGTATCAAATAGACATAATAAGCAGTACAGACATAAGACTACTTCTTAGATTTCTTCATTTCACGTTTAGAACCACTTCCTTCTTCTTCTGTCAAATATATAGGTTGCTCGGGGTTTGAACCTGGCCCTTTGATTGGTTTTTGAAACCACTGGAGTTTTATTCTTTCACTGGACCTCTTTCTCACTGGCTTGGCATCTTTCACTTTCACTTTTTTCTTGCCTTTTTTATCTGGTTTATCAACCACAACAGAACACTGTGTTGTGTTTATTTTAGGAATGCTTGAAATGAAATCATCAGTTATGTCGCCAAAATAGTCAACTGGTTCAGTGGCTACAATTTGAGTTTCACCAGCTTGTGTTACAGTTTGAGTTGCAGCAGTGTGTATTGTAGTTTGAGTTCCACCAGTTTGTGCTGAAGTTTGAGTTGCAGCATAGAGTATTGCAGTCTGAGTTCCACCAGTTTGTGCTGCAATTTGAGTTGCAGCATGAAGTATTGCAGTCTGAGTTCCACCAGTTTGTGCTGCAGTTTCAGTTGCAGCATGGGGTATTGCAGTATGAGTTTCACCAGTTTGTGATGTAGTTTCAGTTGCACCAGTTTCACCGGCTTGTTGAACATCATCAGTTGTACATACCTTGACCTTCCTCAACAAAAATAAAACATATTACTTGTTAGTTCAAAATACATGATATGTCAGTTCAAAATACACACTTATAATACCTTTCTCTTTAGTCCATTAGAATCTTGTGTTGTGCTTTTACATGTTTGAGCATTGTGATCAAATTTGTCACACTTAGTGCATCTATAAGAAACACCTGACAATCTCCTTCTTCTAGCACCCTCTTCACCACACTCCCTTATCCTTAACTTTCTTGGCCTGCCTGGACCTTTCTTGTACATAGGGGGTAAAATCTCCTATGACCGAACTTCTGACCACATTTCCTCACCATTAATTAGACTCATAGAAAAACTATAGCATACTTCATACTTGTCTCTATAATAACAGTGATAAATAAAATCCTCTGGATTTTGTTGCCTAAAACCTAAAGCAACAACAACATGCCTACAAAGAATACCAACTAAATCCAAGAAATTACAAGTACATGATCTCTTAGATATGTCAACTATAAATTCCTAACTGTTATAGGAATGAGTGACTTGGAATTTTTTATCCATTGCCCAAGTAGGCAGCCATTGCTCAAGTCTTGAATTATATCACAGATCTTGACATTATCAGAGGTTTGCATTTTCTTCAAGACAACCTTAGCCACCCACCTTGAACTTGCAGATTTATTGTCTAAAACCCTAACACATGTGTGTTTGTCAACTATGGTTTTTATAGAATAAGTGAGCTTATGGTCCACTTTAGAGCACAACATTAAAAACCCACAATTGACCCTATATACTACCCTTACTCTGTCACTTTCATTTTTCACAAACGTAATTTCTCTCCCATTTAATACTGACCACTCACAGATGGAATATCTAAAATCATCCAGGGAGTTGAATAGCATACCCCACTGAAATTTAAATCCTTATTTAAATGCTCTTTTCTAAACTTTGGAACTTTTCCTTTATCACTATCAGATAAATCTGGGTCAGAGCTATCCAACTCATCACTCACATATTCTTCATCCTCGCAACTGTTCTGTTTGGACCCAATCATAAACTCACAAACTGAAGGGCTCTCATTGATGGGTTTAGTTACATCAATGAGAGACGTACAGTCATAAAGGCAACATATCGAGATGCTTTAGCAATTTTGTTTAGGGACTAGATCATTTATAGAAAGGCAACATTGTAGGGTCATCGAGGGACTATGATCTTTTAATTTATGGGTCTTTGCTAAAGCGTCCCCACTTTCGAGGGACATGACTGCTTTATTTCTGAAGGCAACCAAAGTGGGCGTACCTTAGAGGTGTATATGTGCAAGTGATTCAATTTAGTTCATTTATCTTTGTTATTTAAGTTTTCTAGCGTTTTATTTTCAATCTTTCCTTACAAGCCTAGTTACTAACAGTTAATATTTTGCAGAAATATAAAGTGCGGGAATCATAAATCCTACGTTATTACAAGGCTTTTGGGGAGGGGGATATTTACATGTCCAAAAATGGGAAAAAATAAAGAAAGCGGTAAAGAGCCCTAGTAATTATCTATTACATTCCATCAGTAGATACACAAATATAAAAAAAGAAAGGAAATATTAGACGCGCGCGAAATGGAGAAGAACGTCTAAAACCCTAAAAAATTGCTAAGTGAACATAAGAAAATCTTTTTTGGTTTTTTGTTTATTTTAAGAAAAATAGTTAAACTAAATTAAATGAGAAAGACTAAATTTAATCTTAATTAATTAAATAAATAAAAGAAAACTAACTCTAATATTTTTTTTTGTATTTTGGTTAAGAAAATATTTGAATTAAAAAACCTATTTCTAATTGATTTTAAATTGATAAAATAGAGTCAAAATAATTAAGTTAATTAATTTACAAAATTAAAATTAATTTAAGAAAGCATAGGTCTATTATTATTATTATTATTATTATTATTATTATTATTATTATTATTATTATTATTATTATTATTATTATTATTATTAT